TCATCATTTGAATCATCCATATTAAATTAATCTTTAGGAGTAATATTTTTATTTTTTCTTGGCTTACCTCTCTTCTTCCCCCCCCCCCCACTACTTGCACATTTGTCACAATTGCTACCACTTGGTTATTTAACAATAGGTTCTTCCATTTCATTAAAAAAGTCTAAATCACCCTTATTAAATACCTAACTCACTTTCTAAGGTCCTTCAAATTGATCTTTCCTATGACCTTTGCATTTTACAATTTTTATAGGTACACCAAATTAATCAAAATTACCAATTTCTTCCTTAGAATCACCAAAATGGATATCATTTACAATTTCATTATCTGCATCCTTAGGAGGCGTACTATGGTATACGGGTTAGCCTAATCCATTTAAGGTTTGGTTTGCGAAACTCATATTTTTAACGGGTTGAATAAGTTCAATCCATGAAATAAATGTTCTTTCTTTTTTCATGACTTGTATAAGTCTCGTGAAGATCGTGATTAAACAAGCAAGTTCGTTGGCCTAATAAAAGAATTAAAAAAAAAATTTCTTCCCTTTTTGTGCCAAGAATATATGAGGGAGATATACATAAAAAAATATTATATAAAAATATAAACATCAAACAATCTAAAATAAAAAATATTATGAAAGTCTTAACATTTAAAGGTTTACACATTTAAACTAAAACATTAAAATAGTAACATATTAAACTTTTACATTTAATCTCTAGAATATATTTATGCATAAAAAAATATAAAATATATTAAGGTATCAAAAGTGTAATATATTCTAAATAGAAATATACTAAATTCAATACTTATTAATATACTTAATTATTAAAAAAATACTAAAATTATTAGTGTTTACAAATCTCTCATAAAATTAGAAGAAGAAGAAAATCTTAAACAAGCTAGTTCGCAAGGTTCGAGGATTAAGTTTGCAAAATTTGTGAGCCAAGATTAATTTTTCCTATAATTATGCAAAATTTTTAAAATATAAGCTCATTAACCATGTGGGCCTTGAGCTTCGTGGGCCAACCTATGAACTTGAGTCCATATACCCACCCCTAACTGCCATCACTCACCTAAGCCTATTGCTTTTTCCATTATCAATCTAATTTATCCTCACATGCTCATTTTCATTAGTAAAATCATGTTCCCCAACATGCCTTTTTCCTTTTCCATTGCTAGTGTCATTTACTTCTACATTATCCATTTTCATTTGGCCCTTTACCTTTTTTCAGACCTAGTTTAATCTACCCCTACAAGCCCATTTTCATTAGCCTAATCATTTACCCCCATAAGTATATTCCCATTAGCAAAATCATCTACCCCCACAAGCCCTTTATCACGACCTGTTTCATCTCCAACCACAAGCCCATTATCATGACCGACATCTCCACTAGTGGAAAAAAGACTTTTAAAATCGGTTCTGTAACCGATTTTGAAAGAGCCGATTTTAAAAGTTAGACTTTTAAAATCGGTTAAACAACCGATTTTAAAAGTTAACTTTTAAGATCGGTTGTTTTACAACCGATTTTAAAAGTCTGGCCGTGAAAAAAAAATTAAACTGGAACGGCCTGTTTCAAAATCGGAACGGGCCATTCCAATATGATCAAAAGGCCTAAAAGTTCACATGAAGTACGGGGCGTTCTCCAGGGAGAACGACCTGTTCTCCTTGAAGAACGGCCTGTACTCCTTGGAGAACGGCCCGTACTCCTTGGAGAACGGCCCGTACTCCTTGGAGAACAGCCCGTTCTCCATAGAGTACGACCCGTTCTCCATGGAGTACGGCCCGTTCTCCATGGAGTACGGCCCGTTCTCCCTGGAGAACGCCTCGTAGTCCTTGGAGAACGGGTCATTCTCCAAGGAGTACGGGCCGTTCTCCTTGCAGAATGGGTTGTTCCAGCTGCGAAATTTTCCCAAAATGAACCTACAACGAAAATTGAGACGAGAAAAGCATGAGAAAACGAAAAGAGACACAAAAAGAACATAAGCAGACGAAAATGAAAACGAAATTTACCTGGAGACTTTAGAAAATGAGAAAGATTAAAGAAAATGAGAATGGAGGGGAATATAAAAGATTTTTGACAATATTTTTAAAATCAGTTAATTAAGAACGAATTTTGTATACTACATACAAAATCGGTTATGAAAGAACTGATCTTAAAAGTGGCACTTTTAAGATCGGTTATAAAAGAACCGATTTTAAAAGTGGCACTTTTAAGATCAGTTCTTTCATAACCGATCTTAAAAGTGCTTTTAAGATCGGTTCTTTTGTAATCGATCTTAAAAGTACCACTTTTAAGATCGGTTCTTTTATAACCGATCTTAAAAGTACTTTTAAGATCGGTTAAATTTTAACCGATCTTAAAAGTGTTCATGTTATTTACAAAATTGCCACGGTGTCACTTTTAAGATCGGTTACCTTGTAACCGATCTTAAAACTCCGATTTTAAATCCAATTTTTGCACTAGTGCTCCAACTATAAGTCCATTGTCACTTTCAACTCCCAAATTTTGACCATTACTAGAAGCATAAAAATTTTCAATGATTTTAGCTTGTGACAATGGGTGCAATACATATAGATTACACATTTTTGTACTTTATTACTATGTCTATCAACAAAATACCACATCTCCACTATAAGAAATTTCATTTTCTTTAATATATTTAAAATTTCAAAGTAACTTCGTCTATTTGAGCCACATTTCCATATAGAATTACAACCTATATAATATATCTTCTCTTTATTCATAAATTGTCTCCCATTATGCACAACAACATCAAAATAATCATATCCATGTCAAACAAGTCCTATCAAAATCCAAAAACACAAATATTTAAAATTTATATATTATAATGGATATTTACATTAAAGGAATACCAATTACCTACTATTTTAGGTCAAACACATAAAATGAATAAGAAGTATTGTGATCAAAAAATGAAAAAAAATACATATATAAACACTTGATTGTCTAGCAAAATCTTGATTACAAGTGCACAAAATACGGGACCACAACAAACCAAAATATGCAATTGGTGGACTACACAAAGACATAAGCGTCGAAAAATCCAACATAATAAACCCTATAAATTGGCATTAAAAACCCTAACCTATTAAGGATAAAATAAACCAATAGAATACATAAAGACAAAAATGACAAGAAGAATAACAAACAAATAGACGAGCTTTATCACACAATAAAATACAAAAAAAAAAACAAATGTAACTAAATATCTTAAAACTTACCTTTTAAGACCGATTCAATGTAACACATATCTCAACCTCCAAATGCGACCTTCAAACCTAGGGGTGTTCATGGACCGTTTTGGTTCGAATTTGAGATAAACTAAAGTTCGAATCAATCAATTTTGATTAGTTTAGTTTGGATTAAGTTTACCAAAATAACTTTTATGATCTTAACCATACCAAATCAAACCAAATAACAATGAAATTAATTAGTTTTTATAAAAAAATGACTGATATCATTTTTTAATACAAGAAATATATTATTTTATCCCAAAATTTAAATAAAACTTGTCATTAAAAAGTTTAAATAACATTCAAATATAAATAAAAATAATATTGAAAATATGAAATTAAAATAGTAAAACATATTTCAACATTTGAAATAACTAATATTATAAAATAATAATGTCATAAAAGTTTATCATTCCTGCAAAACGAGACAAAATATCAGCAGCAATGTTTTTATTCCCTTTTATGTGTTCAAAGTTTATTTTTATTCCATTGTGATAGACATATTCTTGGAACAACAACCATCTCTTATGGGTTTTTTTGTCGGAATTAATCTGGGAATTACCATAAGCAACTATTGCTTCGCAATCAGTTCTTACCGTAATTTCATTTTTGTTGATAAAAAATAGTTCAAAGGTTTTTGATTATCTATAATACAGAAATTGTATAGGGCACAAATAATCCCTTTTTTATTGAACAAATATATTGTTCATTGTTTTCTGAACATCTGGAGATGTTCCAAATATTATCAACTATACAGTTGAATTTGTCATTTATGGCTTCTCTACCAGGGTAAAGAAACTCATTTGTCAGCATGGGCAACTCTTGATTCCCAAACTTCATTTTTTGTTTCACACCGGGATACGAAACCCTTGAAGGTTTCATCGTTTATCATTCCTGCAAAACGAGACAAAATATTAGCAGCAATAGTTTCCAACCAACTTTCCAAACTTTCACTTGGGAATAGCATTACCTCTAGCCAGAGTTCTAACAAATTTATTCTTGCTAAGCCAAGAAAATGAACACCAGGACTCAATCATAAAAGAACTATTGTAATAACCATACTATTAGTGCTAGTGTGTTATAGTGTTATACTATTGTGTTACTAATAAAATCATAAATTTATAAAATAATATGAAGATAGTAATTATAATAATAAAATAAAATAATAATTTAAGTTTGTTCAATTCTTGGATCATTAAATTGTAAAATACAAATTCATGATCTTGACCAACTAAGGTCAGATGTATTTAGTTTGAACCATATTTAATTTGATTAAAAAAAATAAATTAAATCAATTTAATTGACTTAATTTGGATCATCAATTTTATCAAATTGTCCAAATTGATGAACACCCCAAATTGATGAACACCCCTGTTCAAATCCTTATCATCACATTGAAAATGCCAATTGCTCAAATCAATTAATAGACTATCATGTCGTGATTTTTTCACCTCAAAAAGTCGTCTAATTATGGGATTTGGGATACAATGTATAACATTTTCACCTTAAGTAGAGTAAAATAAGGATTATTGTGGTCTAATTTAAATATATATCCAATAATTATAATCTCAAGTAATTAATTTACTTTGCGAAATAAAAATTACTTTTAAAAGAAGAGAAGGAGAGGTGTGCGTAGAAAAAAACTTGCAGTAATCCGAAAAAAGCCCAGCCCAGCCCATGTAGTAATCCCCCTTCCGCTGTTCCTTCCAAAACGCGATAACCCAGCCAAAATCGAAGTATATAAGCTCAGTGTTCCAGATACAACGCCAGTTGCCGTTACTCTTAAACCCTCTCTCAAACCAAAACCCTTTCTTTCTTCTCTCATCGCAGTGACACAATGAAATGAACACACTCCAACAATGATTCAACTTCACCGTAGCTTCTTCTCCACCGCCTCCGTTCCTTCCGCACCCCCTCTCTCTCTCCGCCACTTCATGGTCACTCTTCTTTTCTCTTCCTCAATAGTATTCTAATTTATTATTTATTGTATTTTATTGCAACGTAATCGTGATTTGCTCGAAACGGTGTCGCATCGCAGTTGCAGTTCAGGGCGCTTCAGACTCCTCCTCTCTCGCCGCACGCCACGTCAGCAATCGGCGCCACCGTCCAATGTCGAACGTGTCTCTGTCTTCGCTTCCCTCCCGCGAAGAGCCACTTCGTCAAGTCCACGACGTCGTTTAGCGGCTTCGGGTTTCCGTTCGGTTCGAGCGCCGCGACGCCGTTTGGCGACGCGGTTTTCTCGAAGGGGTTCTCGACGCGCGTGGGGGACGGTGAGCGGAAGAAACGGGCGAAGGCTTTCGCCTTTCGCGGAAAGGCGAAGGACGAGAGTGCGAGCGACGCTGCGTCGTCACGCGCCGCGAGTGGCGAAGAGGACGCGAAAACGGCGAAGAAGAAGACGGTGAAGAAGAAGAAGCAGTCGCGGAGCAAGAAGGTGTCTGCCACTGCCGGTGCAAGCAATTCGTCGCAAGAGGATGGTGCTGCGGAAGTTTCTAGAAAATCTTCGAAAGGGAAGAAGAAGGTTTCGAAGGTTAGTAATCGATAGGAAACAATAACGCGAGCGAAGTAATGACATTAGCACCTTTGAATTTAGCTTCTTCTGTAATAATGAATTAAGCTTATCCCTAAAGTTACAATTAGGTCATGCATACGCTAAAATCAACTTTTGGAGAAATTAAAAAAGAGAGCTTCATGAAAAGTTTAAGTGTATAAATAGATTTTTGCTTTAAAGGAGAAGCTTAGGGCTTGATTGAGTAAACTTTTTTAGAAACACTTCTAAGAGAGAAAAATGGGAAGGAAAAATGACATGAGTTTCTCCATAAGCTAAAATTAACTTATTCATAAGTTAAAAATAATATTTTGGAGAAGCTAATTAGAATAAACTTCTACAAATTAATTTATGCATGAGCTAATTTTAGTTTTTGAAAAAAATTATTTCATTTTTTCTTCTTATTTTTCTCTCATAGAAGTGCTTGGTGAAGTTTACCAAAATAAGCCCCTAGTTCATATCTATGTTTCCATTTTCTTCTCTTATTAGTGTTTATAAATAAGTTATCCAAACATGACGTATGGGCACTTCTAAATTGTAGCTCTTGTCATAGATGTTAATACTTTTAGTTGTATTGTTATTATTTTATGCCATTACTAATTTAAATACAATGCTTATTTGATATATTTTAATATTTTATTATTTCTATGACTTGTGCTTATGTTTAAAACATTAATTCTCTCTTGTGATTTAAGGCTATTATTTCATGTTAATTTTAGATAATTTTGTGTGTTGTGTATTATAGTTGTGTTTGTCCTGTGGATTTAAAAATTTGCTGTAATTCTGTGTCTATTTCATATCGAATTTGTGTTCTGTGTGTGTTGCATTTTTGCTTCGTATAATGACACTAATACTGTGGTTATTCAGAAGAGTTCGATTGAGAGTGCTATTGAAGAAATACCGGATAATTCTGGTACTGTGAAGGACGAGTTGAAGAAGAGAAATGGGAATTCTAGTCTGGTTGAAGAGGTGAAACCCCTATGGAAATTTATGCACAAGCCTTTGTATCCTCCCTCTGGAAAGTCTGTGGTGGTTGTGGAGTCTGTTACAAAGGCAAAGGTTATTAAGGGATACCTTGGTGATATGTATGAGGTCTTGCCAAGCTATGGTCATGTGAGAGACTTGGCTGCAAGGTCTGGGTCAGTGCGACCTGATGAGGATTTTAGTATGGTGTGGGAGGTTCCATCGCCTGCCTGGACTCATCTAAAGAGCATGAAGGTTGCACTGAGCGGGTACATTTTTCCATCCCTCACATCCACTTGCTATTGTTTTCTAGTGTCCGTTCAATATTTTGTTATTAGAGTAACACAAATGTGTCATGATTAATTGTGGGGGTTTGTTTCCGTTCCATGGTTGTGTGCATAAGTGGTTGAATGTGTTGCATGGGCATGGGAATGTGTATAAGGTAAAATAAGATATGTGTTTATATGTATATATTTTTTATAAATTGGTTATATTTTAACAATTTTATTTTTCTTTATTTCTTTATTTTAAAGACTGATGATATTTATATTGGTTTACCATCATCATTGTATTATTACTGGTCTTTTACCTCTTGAAAATTATATTAAAAAGGCATAATTATTGTGAGAAATAAGAAATGAAGAGAATTTTCTAAATTGGCTTTATTAAGTCACCCATCATTAGCAATTTTTCAATTTATAGGCAGGAGGATTACAATATAATAAATGAAAAATACAATTCACAAGTTAGAAAATAAAATAACACTATTTTCTTTGATATACTGACAATTCTTGTTGACTATTTAATATGGTTCAATTCTCAGCAATATATTTTAATTTTCAATTCTCCCCTTCAAGCTGGTGAAAAGGCATTCTCCATTCCTGGCTTAGATACTATAATTTTGAAAACTGGGCTGGTTGGTCTTTTGGTGAAGATATTTGCAAGTTGTTCTTATGAAGACACATACAAAGTACAAATCAATCCCCAGTCGAGCTTTTCTTTGATAAATATGTTTAGTATGATATTGTTGGACAAGATTATGAGCTATGCTGATTGCTGACTTATCGATTCATTGCATTTAATCTTCAAATCTTCTAATATAATCTTGAGCCTAAGTAATTTACAAATACCTTTTGTCACATCTCGAAACTTAACTGCAGCACTAGATCAAGCTACTGTAAAATGCTTTTTACTCCTCCAAGTTACTAGATTTTCTTTGAGAAAATTACAGGACCTTGTAATGGATCTCCATAAAATAACAGACTTTGCATAATTGAAATCAGTATAAGCCTTACGAGTTGCATTCCCATTCCTTTAAAGTTTTAAATAAAATTCTCTTCTTAGAGTTCCCTTATGCTTTGTTTGGATGGAGAATTTACAAAGAATTTGAAATTCAAGCATTTGTGAAATTCCTTAAAATAGTAGAATTTCAAATTCTCCCAAAAATGGGAGAATTTGAAATTCCTCATATTTTTTTTTCTTATTTCACATATATATTTTATCTTATCTCTTCATTCTTTTAATTATTGGATATTCAAAAATAATTTTAAAATTATTAAATATTATCTATAATATTAATTTTTAAAATTATTAAATATTTAAAAATAGATTAATATTTATTTTTATAAAATTTAATTTAAAAATCTCAACATATAAATATATTTTAAAATCAATTTTACTATGGTGGAATCAAATTATCATATTCAACCTAACAATTTAAAATTTAAGAAATTTGAATTGACTCATCCAAACAAATATTTTAAGAATGATAGAAATTGAAATCAAAGTAATTCAAATACCAAGAATTTAAAATTCCTTGAATTTGTAAAAATTCTCATTCAAACACACTATTAAGGTACTACAAAACTCTGTGTAACTCTGTGTTGCATGTAAATAAACATCTCTTGGATTGTGCATAAACCATAGTTTTAAAACTGGATCGGTTATCAAACCGGTTAGGGTACTGGGTTAGTGGGTCAAAGGTTGAACCGGTGGGTCACTAATTGAACCGCATGACTCGGTTTTTATTAATTTTTTTTAAAAAAATATTTATATTAAATATATTTTATACTTATAAATTTCAATAAATTCATATCCTATTTTAAATTTCAGTTTTCATCTTATTTAAAATTATCTTTATTTTTATTTTGTATAAAGAAATACATTAAAAAAATTACATGTTAAACTATATATTAATACAAATTAAAAATATAAATAATATGTATATATATAATATGCTTACAATTTATATTACAAAATAATATATGTAATATCTACATAGATATTATATTATTAAATATATAATTTAGAATTATTAATATATTATAAAAGTTATTTAAGTTGCATATATTATAGACAAATATATTAGAATAAGTAGTTATTCTTATGCTTAATAAGACTCTTTACTCTTCCATTAACAAATTTAATTCTCATTGTTATTTTTGTGGTTTGTGGTCCTTTAAAAAAATTAAAAAAAAAATTTATGGTTGAACCGGTTTGACCCATCGGTTCACTGGTCGAACCGGAAAATTGACCGGTTCAATCCGGTTTGAAACGGGTTGAATGCATAACCGATCCAACTTAAGATTCGAACCGGCTGAACCACCGGTTCCTGGTTCAACTGGTCCGACCGGCTGGTCCGATCCGGGTTTTTAAACACTGGCATAAACTGACTAACCAAACTCATAGCAAATGCAAATGTCTAGGCTAGTTTGGGACAGGTAAATTTATTTCTTAACCAAATGCTTATGCATGCCTTTATCCACCATTGCACCTTCATCTACACTTCCCAGCTTACTTGGATAAGATCTACAGGAGTACACACAGGATTACAAGTTGCCTTACCTGTTTCGTTGAACAAATCTGTGATGTATTTTTGTTGAGATAAGAAAATACCAGACCTGGTGTAGGCCACCTCAATCACCAGAAATTTTTCAGCCTCCAGGAGTTTTATTTCAAACTCCCTTGCTAAATAATAACTCAAGGCTTGTTACTTCCAGTCACAATCATGTCAGCTACACGTACCAACAACATTGTCACTAGTTGAGTGTTTAATAAATAATATGTGATCTCCATTACTTTGCTTGTACACAAGGTTGTTAACCTTAATGAACCTTCCAAACCATGCTTGGGATGGTTGCTTCAACCTGCATAATGCCTTTTTCAACCTGCAGCCAGAATTTTCAACACTTTTTCCATATCCTGGTGGGACCTCCATATAAATTTCGAAATCATGCTCCCCATGTAAGTTAGTATTCTTCACATCAATTTGTTGTAATTCTCATCCATTATTTGCAAAAAGGGATAATATTACCTGGACTGTATTCATCTTTGCAACTGGAGCAAATGTTTCTGAATAATCAATCTTGTAAGTTTGTGTGAATCCCTTAGCAACAACCAGCGCTGCATTTTACTTCTCAATCAACCCATATATCTTATATTTTATTGTATATAGCCGTTTACAGCCAACAGGCTCCTTTCCTTTCAAGTAAAGGAGCTGACTCCATGTTTTATTCTTCTCCAATGCCTCCATTTCTGTATCCATGGCCTGCCATATAAGGCATGTAGTTGGTACCCATTAGGGGTAAAGTATGTAAACTTTGCTAACTTTTGAAGTATCCATCCATCCTAGTTTGTTGACAACATGTATCCTGCTTAATTCATCTTATGTTATTCGACAGAGCAGAAAACCTTATTCTTGCATCAGATCCTGATCGGGAGGGAGAGGCTATTGCTTGGCACATCCTTGAGATGTTACAACAACAGGGTGCTCTACATGATAATATTTCTGTAGCAAGAGTAGTCTTTCACGAAATAACTGAACGATCTATAAAAGGTGCCCTACAAACACCGCGAGACATTGACATAAATTTGGTTCATGCTTACCTTGCTCGGCGGGCTCTTGATTACTTGATTGGGTTTAACATTTCACCATTACTATGGAGGAAGTTACCAGGTTGCCAATCAGCTGGAAGAGTTCAATCTGCTGCACTTTCTCTTATATGCGATAGAGAAATGGAAATTGATGAATTTAAACCGAAGGAGTATTGGACTGTGGAGGTTCAGTTGAAAAAGAAAGAGCTGGGATCAAACAAGGATCTTACTTTTCCTGCTCACTTGACCCATTTTGATTCAAAAAAGTTGAATCAATTTTCAATTACTTCCGATTCTGAGTCAAGAAATATTCAAAGCAATATAAACTCAGCTGATTTTCAGGTTGTGGGTTTGAAAAAAAGCAAAAGTCGAAGAAATCCTCCAACCCCTTATATAACATCGACACTTCAGCAAGATGCTGCAAACAAGTTGCATTTCACCGCAAGTCTCACAATGAAGGTACTAGGATTTCTATTTATTCCTAATCTATTTATTTCCTTACTTATTCATGGCTGTAATGATAAGGTAATATTTGCTATTCCTGTGGAATTAACAATTAACTATGTTTAAATTTTTTGGAATTACTTTTATCACTAATCTCAATTACCTACTGAGTGCAGCTTGCACAGAAGCTCTATGAGGGAGTTGAACTGTCTGATGGTGAAGCAGTGGGTCTGATAACATATATCCGAACTGATGGACTTCATGTAGGTATCACTTTGGTTTCATTAATATGATAGAATGCTATGAACTACTCTGGATGCATTGTATATCCATATCATTAATTTGTCCACAAAAGCTCACCATACCATCTCCAAATATTCTCCTCTTTTGTTGTATGCCCCTACATTTCTTTTCTGTAACAATCATTTCATGAATCTTGCCTGTTTAAATGTAAGCACTAACTTGTGGTTTGGATAAGTGGATGGCATGTTAGGAGTCTCTTTCTGTGAACCCAGTATTGTCTCTAGATTATTATTTTTTATTTTTAATAATTTCAAGTTTCTTTGAATTTTCTTTCTTAGATTTCTGATGAAGCTGTTGCTAGTATACGCTCGCTGATCATTGAAAGGTGACATGCATTTCTCAATACACCTTTCTAAATATGTTTTCTATCAGAGTTTTAGTACTACCAATTATGTATTGTCATTTTATCACTTTGCAACCTGAGCAACCGCAATACTAGCTATTCTGCTAAACATATTCTTCAAACATTTGTTTCATGTAAGGTACATTTTGCCAATAGACATGCAATTTGGGATTTAAATACAGCTATAATGGTGTTAGTTATGGCATACTATGTAATCTTTAAAATATTTTGATGCATGAATTTTAATAAGAAAGGAGGAAAGAAGGTTATGTGGGAAAATAATAGGTATGTTCTTAAAAGTACAACCAAGCTATATATAAATGCCACCTGAGTAAAAGCTCTTCACTTCGGAGTATATAGCAAAAATAAACATACATATGAAGACAATTAACTAAACACCAGAGAAGCATGGAACACTGTTATCCCCACTAAGTCTGACAATTTATCCTTCACAGTTGTAGATACTAACTAATCTTTTATTCTCTTACTTCTGCTCATTGGTGTCTGTTAAACATAGTAGTCAATAGTAGTTGTCGCGGCCGCTATCATGGCGTGTCGGAGCAGAGCGGCTCTGTGCCACTACAGAAAGCTTGTTGCGGACTGCTTTAAAGGAGTGGTTGGAGTGGCTGCGAAAGCTGCGGAGTGTGGTGGCGCAATCGTGGGTGGGCGATGGATTTTCACTTCTTTTTTTGGAAGATGTCCGCCGATCTGTCTTCTTCTGCAACGGATATCTGCCGATCTGTCTTCTGCGATGGTGATTTTGTCTTCTCCGGCATCTGCAGACTTGTCTTCTTCTAAGAGGGAAGGCAGGCAGTGATGGCTTGAGTCTCATGATTAGAAGGGTTGCAGTAGAAAAAAATTAGAGTTGGAAAAGTTGGGCCAAATGGGCCCAAGTTTTATTTTCTCTTTTGATTTGGTTAATGGGCCTTTTGCTTCTCTTTATTATTAATTATTATTATAATTTAGATAATATTTTAAGTAATTTTTTTTAATATAAGACCTTAAATATTTTGTTTTCTTTATTTTTTATTTTGTTTAACTACTATAAATTTTTATTATTGAAAATATTTAATGTATAAATTAAGTTATGTTTCTATTTATATATGTATATTATTAATTATATGTATTAAAAATTATTTAATATTTATATATATATATATATATATAAATAAATTAGAATAGTGGTATCCCGCCATCCGCTATCTCACTTTTGGGGTTGGCCACTCCGTGCCGCTACACAGTATTAATAACTATGCTGTTAAACCATGGGAGTTGGTCTTCTCCCTTTGCTAATGCCAATTTGAAAATCTTTGAACATTCTGTTGAGGGCTTTACTAGCTGAGCCAGTTGACACCTTCTCAAGGCCCCTAATAACTTCAACACTGGAAATCACCTTTTTCTCTTGATCCTACATGCCCATCTCTCTATATCTTAAACCCTAAACCCTCCAAATTTAATAGACGTAATGCCAATGACATGATACCAGTAAGTTTAATAGACCTAATGCCAATGACATGATACCAGTGTATAGGCGACATAACTTCCCTTGATGAGAATCTGGATTGATCATCAAATCAAGAATTTTCTAGTAATTTAAGTAGTAACCACAAAATGGGATGAACCCATTAGGTTGGCCTGTTTGACCAGCTAAATGGGGTTGGGTTGGGTTGAGTCACTACCATTTTGACATTTCAATAACCTCGTGACATTATTAACTTGTGAAACATATTTAGCCATGAGTGCAGCAAATACATATTGATAATTATATACAATCATATTCATTTATATTTGGCATTTCAATAACTTCATGATATTATTAACCACTTGTGAGACACATTTAACCATTAGTGGCACAAGTAAATATTCATAATTATGTACAATCATATTCATTTACTCTCAACCACAGGCAAAGTTAACCACCATTAGACATTTCAATAGTCTCATGACATTGTCAACCATTTATGAGACAAAGTTAACCACCATTAGGCGTTTCAAATTTCAATAGCCTCTCGACACTGATAACCACTTGTGATGCATATTTAAACATTACTGCCACAAGGACAAATTGACAATTGTATACACATTGATTTACTCTTCAACCAGTTGTGAGACAAAGTTAATGATAGGAACTGATAGTTAGGGGCAGTTACGTGTAGAAAATAACTGCTTTAGAAATCAGATTAGTATTAAAAACTCCAGGGTGACAATTATATTTAGAACATAACTACTAGTAATTAGTTATTTATTAGAATTTGTAGGAAGTTATTTGTAGAAAATAACTGCTATTAGTTATGTATTGGGATTTAGGAGTATATATCTGATTGTAGGTTTTGTAATTAGGTAGTTGATGTCATTTGTAGTTTGTGGGCAGAGAATACTCTATGTAGGATACTTTTGTCTCTGCGACAACAAGTGTGTTATTGTATTATATGTTATTTCAATGTTCAATATTATATTTTATTACTTTTATCAATTGGTGTTTAATCATGTGAAATATATGATTTGATATGATTGATTCCTTTATAATTAGGGAAACTTGTATAGTGGAAATTAGAGATTCTACTCATTATTGCCTGTTATTTTTTATTTTTGTATTTCCTTATTTTGTATCCTTATTCATTATAAATAGAGGATTACATGTGTGGTAACAAACACACATTCCTATAATTCCTATAAATAGTAGGAATTGTGTTTCACTTTGAAGCATGGGTAGTTCAAAATTCATGCTGTACATGTACTGGTTATGTATTTGTACTTTGTACATGTTGGGTACTCGTGGGTACCTACCAGGTACGCACCCATAATATATATGTTAGAATAGTGGATTAAGCCTAACTCAACCCTACAAAACCGGCTTGTAAGGTAAGGGTTGCTTTCCACTTATATACTATTCAATTGCCTAATCTCTAGTCGATGTGGGACTTGGGTTTTTCCCAATACACCCCCTCACGTCCAGCACTATTGGGCTTGGTACGTGGATAAATGGTGGGTGGCCCTTTTTAATGATCTAGGATTGGCGGGACTTGGGTTTTTCCCAATACACCCCCTCATGCCTATGAGGCATGCATCAATGGTGGGTGGTACCTACCAGGTACGCACCCATAATATATATGTTAGAATAGTGGATTAAGCCTAACTCAACCCTACAAAACCGGCTTGTAAGGTAAGGGTTGCTTTCCACTTATATACTATTCAATTGCCTAATCTCTAGTCGATGTGGGACTTGGGTTTTTCCCAATAATATATATTTTTTTAAAAGTAGGTACTTAATTTGGGTACACATGGGGTACTTTTTGGCTACGTATTGAATCCATACCCAAGTCTAAAAAATAAAACCCATGTGTTAACAAAATATTTTAAAAATTAAAACCAAAGGATTGGTGGGTCATGTATGGTGCAACAATCCCCAAACTACAACCACTTGTACTGAAACGTCTCTCACAACCATCATCATCTTTTTGTTGTGAAAGATATTGGAGCACATATTCTTTTGTCCTTTCTATGAAAAGAAATAGGCTCAACCCTATGAGAGTTGGAGATTTAGTTTTATACATATAAATCTTTGTCTTCTCTCAAGAAAGAGTAAGTGTTATATAGAGGGTGAGAGCAAAATATCGGATATTAGTCGAGATGAATGGGATCCACCTGAAGAGGCTGACCTTAAAATTACCGCTCTTTTTCTTGATGAACCAGAGTTAAAAGTGGTTCCTTTCATGGTTGATGGACAAGGAAATGATGAGATTGAAATTGTCAAAGTGTGATATATAACAATTAAAGTGTGCATCATAGTTCATGTGTCATATTATAATCATGCTTTAGGTGTTACAATTTTTGTTCTTGAATTGATATTATAGTTCAAGTGACAAGTGTACGGTTTATTTGTGATTTTTTTTTATCATTTATACAATTTACTTAGGTTTATGCAATTAAAAGTTATTTTAAAATTACATTAACATATTCGTACCCTATATTTTTGAAAAGTCACATATTTTGTCGTATTTGTACCCATATCCGTATCAATGTGTTTTGTTACCACACATGTAATCTTCTATTTATCTATTTATAATGAATAAGGATACAAAATAAGGAAATATGGAAATAAAAGATAACGAGTAATAATGAGTAGAATCCCTAATTTCTGCTATACAAGTTTCCCTAATTATAAAAGAATAAATTATATATTTAACACTCCTCCTCATGCTAGAGCATAGTGTATTGAGTTGAGCTTGTTACAAATGTCATTAACTTGGGAGCCTTTGAGGGATTTAGCAATCAAAAGCTCTAGGCTTGCAATTACTTTCACTATGCTAGCATTGTTTACCTGTGAAATGCATGGTGAATAGTGCACGTTAGAGAGGGGTAGCAAACAACTACAGTTCTTGGACATAATAGGTTGCTATACACTCCCATTGCATGAAGTGGTGGAGCATCATTGACGGGAGGCACGGTGGAGTAGCAAACGGTAGCTTTAAGATTGCGATTATTACTTATCGCATGGCTGTTGGTACAGAGAAAGGCAATGTGTGTGGTTGCGTGTAGCAGCTGACTGTGTCGTGTCTTGGTTGCACAATAGTCGCCTAAGTGTGGCGACTTTGGTGATGTGGTCACTTTGGAGGATGTGTGGCATGATAGAATCCCTTAGAGTTCCTTAATTATTTGTGTGACAACATTATTGGTGGCACGGTGGCCACTTGAGTGTAGAATCTCCGGTGGTGTGGTTGTGTCGGAGGAGATAGTGACTCGGTAGTGGCCCACAAAGCTCTAAAGTTGTTTATGGTACTGGTCATATAGAAACATACATGTTAGAGAGTGGGGCACGAGTAGATGCGTGCGGGGGGTCGGCGACAACTCTTGTGGAATTGTGTGTTTGTTACCATGTAGGAATTGTGTTTGTTACCACCAATGTAATCCTCTATCTATAATGAATAAGGATACAAAATAAGGAAATATAAAAATAAAAGATAACAAGTAATAATGAGTAGAATTCCTAATTTCCACCATACAAGTTCCCCTAACTATAAAGGAATCAATCATATCAAATCATATATTTAACATATCAAATAGCCACCATTAGGCGTTTCAATAACTTCACGACATTATTAACTACTTGTAAGTCCTATCTAACCATTAGTGCTACAAGTGCATAAAGATAATTATATATGATCACATTCATTTACTCTAAACCACTTATGAGGGAAGTTAGCCATATTTACACGTGGTTCAGCATGTGTACCAGGTAGATGCTGGGTGGAGAATTCCTAGTGAGACCTTAATCACTAATATTGTACCGATTGAGCCTTATGTGTGATTGAGGGCTTATTGGAGTTAATGAGCTAAAGTATTAATACTTGATAGTTTTGGCCTTTTAAGGTCATTGATTGATGTATTTGATGTTTCAAGTATTTGTATGTTTTGGTGGACTAATTAATAGTTATGTTTATATATATATATATATATTTGGTGGATCATTAGTCACCCTTTAATATTTTTTTATTATTTAAACTATGGTGGGATCATCCAGCCTAACTCGTAGCCCACTTAGGATTGAGTTTGAGCTAGGATTTTCAATCCACTCAACCCAATTTTTGGCAGGATAGATTAACCTTTTTGGTCACTCTTAAATTTAAGAAAGTTTGAGGATGGAGGAGGGGAAATGACATCTTAAACGTGACATTATCATAGACTTCATTAACCCTAAATGCTACAATTTTACCCTCTTAGAAGAAAATGAAAAGTATACATTATTATTTGGGATGATAGAATATGGTCTGGGGAAAGAAAAGTGTAATTCAGTTCTATCTGCATGCAAGGCAATTATTGATTCCTTTTCTCAATGCAGTTGGCAAATTTGTCTAATGTCGCGTTGTTATTTTAAATTTGAGTGCATAGTTAATTTGGTTTCAACAATTTTTGTTTTGTTTTGTTTTTTTTTTCATGTGCATGAATGAGAAATTATTGTATACAGGTATGGAAAAGATTTTGTCTCACAAAGTGCACCGAAGTATTTTAAAAAGGTGAAAAATGCACAAGAGGCCCATGAAGCAATTAGACCAACTGACATACGCAAGTTACCATGTATTATGATGCGTGCTTCTTTTGTGGATATTTTACTTGAATGGTAAACCAAAGCTGACTGCTAATAATATTATTTGATGATTTGTCAGCAATGCTTGCTGGGGTACTTGATGAGGAATCCTTGAAGCTCTACACACTTATTTGGTCACGAACAGTTTCATGTCAAATGGAATCTGCTGTCTTTGATCAGGTTAGACCGTTAGACCATTGAATATCCTTCAACGTATGAAGTATGAACCTTAAAAGCATATTCTAAACTAGCCATTTCTCTAGTTTGTACCTGAGTATTGGCTGTATATTCATTTAGAATTCAAAATTGTGCCTCTTTTTTGTTTCATTGATAGGTGAAGGAGATTATAAGAAAAGGACAAAGAAAGTGTTATACATCCTCTCGGGAAAACAAAACAAAGAGAGAAAAACTAGAACCTAGGAAATTGTAAATGTAACACTTTGTTGTTTTATTGGTAGGTGGAGGGAATTACAAGAAAAGGACAGAGTGTAATACATCCTTTCTAGAAAGCAAAACAAAGAGCAAAACTAGAACCTAGGATCTATGATATTGGAAATGTGACAAAGCATGCCAACCTCTCTGCATGTCTGAAAAATAAATGTCTCTAAACAACAAATGTACCATGAGCAGAACACCTTTGTTCTGCTAAAAAAATAACCTCATTTCAAATGACGTCTATAGTAGAAGACTTGAAGTGCCCTTAAAAATTCTAGTATTCCTTTCTAGCCATAAACACAAAGTACCACAAAAGACATAATGGTGTCACAGTTTTAGCCTCTTTATGCCAGCCAAAACATCTAAATTAATTAAATAATCACAAATTCTTTAGACAAGCCCAAAGTTTCTTAAATCCTTAGTTTATTCAAAAAAAAAAGGGTAGTTGCAAGATAGTGCATATTGTGCTATTGGACTAATCACTTGGGCAATGTTGATGCCCTCACTCTGCCTCATTTTTGTTATGGAGTTTTCATTCTGAAAGTCTCTTTTGTAGTTTATAGACACATTGATGGTTATTGCATATGATCTAGGTTGTTCGATTGCTATTCTATCTGCCTTACCAGGTTTGACAGTATTTGTGGTTTGACATTGTGATCTATTGGGTTGCAAGACACTTTTGACTTAAAGCCTTGTGCATTATGTAAGCATATCATTAGATCCACTTGGAAAAAGAGAATGATTTTATTATTATCATTCATGCCTATTACATTTTCCTTACACCTATTTGTAGCAATCTAATCTTCCAAAAATAAGGAAATAAGGAAAAAATATGCTGAAAAATAAACTAGAAGATTCTACAGATATTTTCTCTAATTACGAAAATTTTCCTCTAATTACAACACTCCCCCTCAAGTTGGTAAATGAATATCAATCATTCCTAACTTGCCTACAAGATCTTGAAATCTACCCTGAGGGAGCCCATTTGTAAAGATATCTGCTATTTGAAGTTCTGTAGGAACATGAGTTGTAATCACAAAGCCTCTGTCTAGATTATCTTTGATGAAATGTCTGTCAATCTCAATGTGTTTGGTCCTGTCATGTTGTACTGGATTATGGGCAATGCTCATGAAAGACTTATTGTCACAGTATAGTTGCACGGGGTTGTCCACCTTGACTTTAAGGTCATCCAAAATGATTTTCATCCAGAGTCCTTCACACATTCCTTGAGCAAGGGCTTGAAATTCAGCTTCTGCACTAGAACGAGATACTCTATCTTGCTTTTTGCTCCTCCATGTTACCAAACTATCTCCAAGAAACATACAATACCTAGAAGTACCTGCATAGTCAGCATCAATATATATTTTCATAGTCAATGTGTCTTCCTTTTTGAACAATAGCCCCTTTCCTGGACTTGACTTCAAGTACTGGAGAATTTTGTCAACTGCTTGCATGTGTCTCTCTCTTTGATCATGCATAAATTGGCTTACTACACTAACTGCATAAGCAATGTCTGGTCTTGTGTGTGATAGATAAATCAATTTTCCTACCAGTCTCTGATATTGGGCCTTCTCTACAGGAGCACTTTCTTCACTTCCAATTCTGTAATTTTGTTCTATAAGAACTGTTGAGGTTCTACATCCCAGCTTTCTTGTTTCTTTGAGGAGATCAAGTACATATTTCCTTTGGGAGATGAAAATTCCCTTCTTGGAGTAAGCAACCTCTATTCCAAGAAAATACTTGAGTTTTCATAGGTCTTTCATTTCAAATTGGGTTGCCAATTTTTCTGTTTCATCATCTCCTGCAATAATCACATCATCCACATAGACAAGCAATAGAGTGAGTTTACCTGTAGAAGAGTGTTTTATGAATAGAGTATGATCTCCTTGGCTATATCTGTATCCCAAGGAAACCATTCCTTTTGTAAATCTTCCAAACCATGCTCTAGGGGATTGCTTAAGACCATACAATGCTTTCTTTAGGAGACACATTGTTTCTTTCATTTTGCACTTCAAAACCTGGGGGAATCTCCATGTACACTTCCTCTTCCAGATTTCCATGAAGAAAGGCATTCTTCACATCCAACTGATGTAAATCCGAACCAAAATGAGTAGCCAAAGCGAGAACAACTCGAACTGTATTCATCTTTGCCATTGGGACAAACGTCTCCTCATAGTTAATCCAATAAGTTTTGGTATAACCTTTTTCCACCAATCTAGCTTTATATCTTTCTATTGTCCCATCTGCCTTATGTTTCAATGTGAATATCCATCTACATCCTACTGCCTTCTTGTCTCTTGGCTTATCAACAATCTCCCAAGTTGAATTTCTTTCTAATGCATTCATCTCTTCTTTCATGGCTTGAGTCCAATGTTCAAGTTTCATGGCCTCCTGGACTGAGGTAGGAATTTTTGTGGCATCAATGGCAGCAATAAAGCTTCTGTGCTTATCAGAGAGATTGTTAGTGCAAACATATCAAGAAATAAGAAATTTAGCACATGACCTTCTTTCCTTTCTTAATGCAATGGGTAAATCCTCAGTAATACTTACCTCCTCACTGTTATCTTCAGGGATCCTCACCTCCGGATTAGACAATTTTTCTTGCTCAAGAGTCGAAGTGGGTTGTTTTTTTCTTTCATATTTTTTGCCAAAAAAATTGTCTTCTTCCTCTTCTTCCGCTTCATCGATGTGGACCATGGTAGCTTCATTGCTCAGATCTTGGGCATCCTGCAAAGACAAATATGGTAATGACAAGAAGGAGAGCTCCTCCACTTCAAGTGCTTTCTCCTCTCGAAGTGGTGGACTGACATAAAAGGATTGGGTTTCATGAAAGGTGACATCCATGGTGATAAAGACGCGACGACTTTGAGTGTGATAACATTTGTACCCATTTTTATTAGAAGGATGCCCAATAAAGACATTTAAGAGCTTTGGGATCTAATTTACTACGATTAGGATGATGAGAGTGAACAAAAACATTACATCCAAAGACTCGACTAGGTAGACTCGATATTAAGGGGGAAGACGGAGCAAAAGACAATAGAGACTCTATAGGACTAATGCCATTTAAGATACGAGTGGGTAACCTGTTGATGAGATATGTGGCAGTTAACACAACTTCTCCCCAGTAATTTTTGGAACAGACATTTGAAAAAGAAGAGCTCTAGTTACTTCAAGAATATGACGATTCTTTCTTTCAGCAACCCCATTTTGTTGAGGGGTGTTCACACATGTTAGTTCATGAACAATACCATTATGAGACAAAATATTGAGAAATTCATGATTCACATATTCAGTACCATTATCAAACTTGATTCTTTTGATATTTTTTCCAAATTGATTTTGGACAAGACAGAAAAAATTAACAAAGATTTGGAAAACTTCTGATTTATTTTTCATAAAGTATGTCCACGTGACACGGGTACAATCGTCAATAAAGGTAACGAACCATTTGGCTCCGGAAATAGATTCTATGACAGGTCTCCAAACGTCAGAGTGAATTAAATCAAATGGAGAAGTACTCTTTTTATTACTAATAAGATAGGATGCACGATGGTGTTTTGACAACTGACAAATACCATAATTAAAGGACTCAACAAACTCCTTAGTAAACAAATGAGGAAATAAGGACTTGATAAGGTTAATGAAGGATGCCCAAGCCTTTTATGATGTAGCCATATTTGGGAATTTGCCCACGTCTCAGATGTAGCTTGTTGACTCATGATTTTTGTTTTGTTTTGGTCATCAGATTCCAATAGATACAACCCACTCTGCTCCTTAGCAGTTAAAATCGTCTTTCCTGTAGCAAGGTCTTGAAAAACACAATGAGTCAAGAAAAATGTTACTGAACAATTTAAATCTTTTGTGAGCTTTTGCATGGAGATAAGATTATTGGCTAATTGTGGAACATGTTAAACATCCTTTAATACAATAGATGATTTCAAAATTATATTCCAGAGTCGCATATGGGTACACCTTGACCATTCGCAACTGTAATAAGTTGTTTTCTATTCCTTTTAATATATGATTCGAAGATCATACAAAAAGGTGTCATATGATCAATTGCTCCTGAATCAAAAATCCAAATACCTTGAGACACAGGACCCACAATATGGAGAGAACTCTTACCTTTCATGGACAGAGTACATGGTCTAGAGGACTTACTTATTGATTCAATCATTGCTTTTAAACGATCTAGTTCCTCTTTGAAAGCTTTCATCTCAAGATCTGACGGTGGTGACGTAATGGATTGATTCGGCGACTCTATCTGTGGCGAGAACAATGAGTGGGCTACACCGAAAAGGAGCAAAAACTCAAAAAACTCAGATCTACTAGAATCTAAGCCAAACAGGACGTCATTGACCCGTGGAATGGACTTAGGAGGCTCCGGCGACTGGTTCTGTGATAGCGGCGGCGAGTGGGTCTCGTCGGAGCTAGGCGCGTGGGCTACACGTGCCAACGACGGTGGTGGCGCGTGGCGGTGTCTTTCCCATAGCGATTTCCAGCGTTGTGTTTGCCAAAGGAGGGCGCGCCTTTCTATCCTATCAACGGCTCCTATGGTGACGGTGGTAGCCGCAGTGGCCGGACAGCGGCGGCGATGACTACTATTGCAGCGGAAACGGAGCTCCCAAGATCGGGAACTCTGATACCAACTTGAAAAAAGAGAATGATTTTATTATTATTATTCATGCTTATTACATTTTGCTTACATCTATTTGTAACAATCTAATACTCCAAAAATAAGGAAATAAGGAAAAAATATGCTGAAAAATAAACTACAATATTCTACGGATATTTTCTCTAATTACAATAGATCCCACACTTTTGTGTGCTTTGGTTAGTCGTTGTTTTAGGTAAAATATCCGCTTCCCATCACTTTGTCCGTCATCTTTATAGTTGTTAGCCAAATAGGATCTATTTGCTCAGTATTGGAAAAAATCCAAGTTTCACATTGGCTGCTTCCCATCACTTTCTCCATCATCTTTATTATTGTTAGTCAGATAGGATATGTTTGCTCAGTATTGGGAAAAACCCAAGTTTCACATTGGCTAAAGACAAGGCAAACAAAAAGTTTACAAGTGGGGAGCAACTGTCACCTTATAAGTTGGTTTTGTAGGTTTGAGTTAGATCCAAACCCACATTCTTAGATGATATTAAAGCTATCTAGAACAACTCTAAAAGGACCACCTACCATTGATATACGCATCAAACCCAATAGTGTTGAACGTGAAGGAGTATTGGGAAAAATCCAAATCCCACATATCCTAGATTATTAAAAAGGGTCACCTGCCATTTATTCATTTACCAAGCCTAATAGTGTTGGACGTGAATGGTGTATTGGAAAAAAATCCAAGTTCCACATCGACTAGAAACAATGAAAATGAGAGCTTATAAGTGGGGAGCAACCCTCACCTTAAAATTTGGTTTTGTAGGGTTGAGTTAGTCTCAAACCCACATTTTAAGACTGTTTTATGGAACTTTGGTTTGTTAGAATGTTAAAGTCATTCAGGGTAAGTTCATTTATTCCTGGTCTACTAATGGTAGATTGTATCTGTGTACTAGAGAAAGATTGTGAACAATTTCTGATTGTTGAAATTACTTTTATGTTCATATAAAGTACATCTGCTTCTGTCTTACATTATTATGTTTAACCAGACATTTTTCCTGATGTTCTATTGATTCCAGATACAACTTGATATTGGAAATGCTAACAAGTCTATTATATTACGGTCTGCCAGCTCAAGGCTTGAGTTTCCAGGATACCGGGCAGTGTTTATGGTATGGTTAGTTGCAGCAGATAAGTGACTCTGGTGACATAATCTTTAACTATTCATATACCAGTTGACAGTACATGAAATAATGATGACTTTATATTTGTGATTACTATTGTTATTTTCAATGAAATAAATTATTATTTTAGTATTGCTTTTAGTGTAAGTATCGGATAGCTGTAACTGGGAAAAAATATATATTACAATTGGATTTCAAATTTAATGCTTTTTTGTATAAGTAAAATTTTAAAGTTATGCTATATGCATTAAGTTTGTTTTCTACTGGCTAATATCATGTTTTTGATGATGAACAAGATCTCCTGGAGCTTAAAATGTTTTGGAAAGACTTGCTATCTTGTTTGCTTTATGCATGCTATTGGAGTATAACTTTACTCCTTATCTTCCAGCTATCTTTTCAGCTTTATTCTGTTGTAATTGTTAGTTTACTTTTCATATTCAACCTTTGGACAACAGTAGCACAGTTTTATATCTGTTAAGCTGTGTAACTAATTCTCTCAGTCTGTTAGGTTGTTACAGCTTCTGTTAGAAGCTGTTAGCCTTATAAATAGCTCTCTGTACTTTGTAATATGCAGATTGAATAATATATAAAAAATGCTTTACTATTCGTTCTCTCTCTCAAACTTCAACACATCCCAAAAGAAACATATTAAGTGTGAATATGCATGTGGTTCTATTTTGTATGCATTGTTCAATTGCTGGATGAAAGAGACTTAAGGGATTTAATGTAGTTTCCATTTGATTCAAATCTGTATTATTACGAGAGGTTGTCACAAGTCACACAATTTTTATTTCATTATTTTGTATGCCTAAAAATGGTTTTGTATCTATTAATTTCAGTTGTGGTTGAGAATAACCACATGTACCTTTATATGTTTAGGTAACTGTGTTTCCTGACATTTTTTTTCTACCTTCTAGGATGTTGTTACCAAAGCTGTTCAAGATAAAGACATTGATGGATACAGTAATGATAAAACATTTGGGGTACTAAATTCCTTTAAGTTAATATTTCTGAAAACTTAATATATATATATATATATATAAAAAATATAATTATGTATGTATATATGGTTTGTAATTGAAAATGTTTTCTTTCCTTCTAATGGCAATCTGCCAGTTCCGTTTATTTAGATAGGATGCTATTCTTAGCTTCCTTATGGTGTTTTGGCATTGGTTTTTTCAAAAAGGGAGTGGACTTTGATAGATATATAGATAGACCGACAGATACCCTCCTAATAATATTTTTCTTTATTATTGTTTCTCTAGTTGGGAAAATATAAATATCCTATAATCTTATGCTTCCAGAGAAGAAATATATCTGGATGTTGTGCTTGTGAAAGTACATACATCACACATGTACTCCTTCTGGTCTTTATTTTAAGACACTTTTAATCGAATCACATAGATCAATTAAAGTAGTTATATTTGTTGATTTTATCGAGTTTATAAAGCAAAATCATGATGCATCAATTTTACCTGTCGGACTTATCATTAAATTTTCATGAGAGGCGTAGATATTACTGCATATCAAAGTTTATGCTCTACTTCCGATCAAATTGATAAATGACAATTGGAGAGTTTAAGAGGTGAGAGAATGATCGTTTATTTCTCAAATTCTCTTCTTATTATCCGACAACAAGATGCTCATATTGTCACAATCTTTAATAAGGGCAAAAGGTGAAAAATTAAATCAATGCTTTATATCAATGGTAAAGTGCCTTGACTACCATTTCCTTCTAAATTGTCTTTTATAATAAGGGCCACAGGGAGTACTATTTATTACAACACATTATAGTACAATAGGAAATACAAATCAAATCCTTTATTGCAGTAATCCAAGATTTTTCTTGCTCCTATTTGAATATAAAGACAATTTTGTAGGAAGAAAAAAATGACTCCCACTAATCTGTATATTTCATTATCTATGGTCTGAACTGTGTATTCAAATACAAAAAGGATAAAAGCCTAAGCCATTACATCAACGTCAAATACAGTTAGAAAGCACAACATAAGATTAAAACAATAAGAAGCTTTCTTAACAAGCAATTGTAATTTGTAACACTCCCCCTTAGGCTTGAGCAAACAAATTGTGTGCATCAAGCTTGAAACATAAAAACTGAATTCTAGGACCCCTCAATGACTTAGTCATAACATCTGCAAGATGTTCACTGCAGTTGACAAATTCAGTAATAATTTCCTTGGATAGCAGCTTCTCTCCAACAAAATGACAATCAACCTCTATATTTTAGTTCTCTCATTAAATATTGGTTTGGAAGTGATGTAAGGTGCAACCTGATTATCGCAATACAATTTCATTGGATGAACTTCACAAAATTTTAAGTCTTGAAGAAGTTGCTTAATCCATACGAGTTCACAAATAATCGAAGCCATAGTTTGATATTTAGCTTCAACACTGTAATATCTCATACACCCCCATAAGCTCAAGGGGGTCGAGTGATGGAAGTAGTAGTGAGCACATTGAGCTTGGTTATGAGTTGTAAAAGCCATGTATGAGATAGAGGTTCTGCCCATTCATCTTGTGCAGGGATGTGTAGAAAAGCAAGCTGTTTGCTAAAACCTTCTCTCAAACACAAAAGATCAATCTCCATGTGCTTTGTATGGGCATGAAGAACAAGATTATATGCTAGAGAAACAACACTCAAATTGTCACAACACGGTGAGCTATTTGCAATAGCCAATTCTTTTAGTAAAGTTTGTATCCAAAGTAAGCATTTTCTTGGGCAAAACGATACTCAGCCTCAAAGTTGGAATGAGCAACAACCTGTTGTTTTTGCAATAACCTTTTGGGCTTAAAGTGTGGAGATCTTGTATAAGTCCATTTTACCTTGAAATTAAGCTTTACTTGGAAGAATGAGGGAAACAATTATCAAACTCTTGACCATTTATTCCACACAGGGTTTTTGATACCATGTCAAGGATCAGCGTTTCTAAACCTTTAGATATTAGATGGTGGATTAAGAATGTTTCGCTATCTGTAAAATAGCCTTTCCCCTTTGGTAATTGTTCTCACCTTTCCATAAGCTAGCTTTGCTATGCATCTGTTTCGTTTATTTTCAATCTGTGAATTGATTTATGATGCTGAAAGTTGAACAAGTCAACGGGACATGGACATATGCCTTTAGCAGAATGAGACTGGTTGTTGATTATTTTTTTTGTATATCTGACATAATTACTCTCAATTTATGCCAAAGAATTTATTGATGCCATAAAATTTGCGGCACATTCCCTTCATTGACATTTATTTTATAGACAGGGGATCCATTACATGTGGTTCAAGCTGAACCTAATCAGCATCATACACAGCCACCGCCAAGGTACACTGAAGCATCATTGGTAAGTCTTCTTGTTTCTGTCATTAAGATTAAAGGGCTAGTATAGACCATAAGGGCCTCTTTACTGTGAGAAAATGTTGTATTATTTTTTTCATGTTTTCACTTTTATATACAAATGTGCCACTATATTTTCATTTTTCTTTCTGCTTTATTTGTACAAAAAATGGTGAAAGCAATAAAAGATGTTTTCACAGTTTCTTATACAAATTTTGATAACAAAAAACAATGAAAACAGTAATCTTTTTCTCAAAATTGAATTGGCCACAATATTCTCAAAAAGGTAAAAACAGTAAACTCTTGTTGCATGTAGAAGTAATGCCCGATATTTGATATTCTCAATGGGTTCTGTCATCATCTGTACTTTTTCATTTTTTTATGAGGTTATTAATTATTTATATTATCTTAAGAAAAAAAATTTCTTTTGCACTATGTTCTCTTCTTTTTCTCTTGAATATTCCCCGATGATATTATAGGTTAAGAAGCTTGAGGAGCTTGGGATTGGAAGGCCATCAACATATGCAATGACGTTAAGAGTTTTACAGGTAGTTTACTGGTGGAACAGTGTAATGTCATAACCAGTCCATATATTATCTTATTTGTCTTATTGAATGAAGTCTAATAATTTGAATTGTAAGCTGTGATTTAGTAAGATAATTGTATAATTTGTTCAGGTTTTTTATTTAGCTGACGTGTTTTTACTTTTTAGGAAATTAGGGCTTGTTTGTTTACCATTTTTTTGAAACTATTTTTGTTTTTAAAAACAAAGTTCTAGTTTGAGTTTTTGAAAATTGTTTTCAAAATATCTCTTTTCAGTTTCTAAAATAAAGAAACAGAACATCTCTAAGCTGTGTAGCTTTTAACTTACCGTTTCCTATGACTTATGTTATTTCTTGTAGTGCATGTTCTTTCCTCAGTTTCTAAAATCTAGTTTTAATTTGTATTTGTAAAATGGTTTTTAAAGACTAAGAAACAAAAACACAATTGAACACACCCTAAGTCACTCAGATCCATTATTACTCTGCACCAGATCAGATATTGGTAGAGGCTCAATCAACTAATAATTCCATCTAATAGCGTGTTTGGATTAGATTATTTCAAGGAGAATAATTACCTATTTTTTTTAAAGTTCTTCCTAGAAGATGATAGATTAATTCTTCAAAATAAGTTGAGCCAAACATTCTTTAACTCGATTAACAGTTACCATCATAGGTGGTTTGTGTACATAATGAATCTGACTATTGCTCATTCCTTCATGTTATTTGATTAACATCATTGTTTACTTCTGATTTTGTGATCGTATGAAACTGTATAATCAAGGAAGTGTTGCTTCAGGTTTTCAGCCATTTTAGATAGCTTAAGAAGGTTATGAAATGAAGTGATTGATTAATGCAACAATGAAGGTTTTATTTAAACCTGACGATAGTAATTTTTCATTCATTCATCATAAAAAGTAAATTGGTGTCATAAACCAGAAGCACCCTGAACACAAGAAAATTTCAGCATTCAACAAGCAATTGTTTGTACTAAAACCACAACTAAAGTAAAAAAGTCATCGATCAACTCACATATCCATCGAGCTTGTGATACAATGATAGTTCTTCATTGAAATAATTACTGTTTTTCAAACTATAATTGAGAACCCCTCGTATATGCAAAAACATAGCTTTTTTTTTTTTTTTTCATTGTTCCTCCTAAAATATTGATTGATGATTTCATGCACGTGAGATTCTCTTGTTGCTCTTGTCTCCTTGTTTGTATATATTTACTCTATCTTTCGTGGAAAATTTTTGGACATGTAACTGTTCCCTTTTAAATCTGTTTGATAAAATTCTGAGTCAACAATTTTTTTTTGCCTCAGGATAGAAATTATCTGACAGTAAAAAGTCGAGTTCTGTCTCCAGAATTTCGTGGTCGCATGGTAAGCTTTGGGCTATTTTTAAATTTATTGTTTTGTTTGGATGAAAATAATAGTTACATTGTTGTAATATTTAGTTAATATGCCTGCAAAGAAGATTCCAAAGTTTGTCATTCTTGCTTCTGGTAGCTTCATATTTTAGAGTCATCTGATTTATATCTTCTCTTTATCCAATTTTTTCCTAGCCATGGATATGGCTCCTCTAATTTATAGCTATAACATCTATATGCTTATTCATAGACATATGCCCCTTTGATTTATGATAATCAACAATAGTTGTGGTTTTGTCTAATGAATGATAGGTCTATGTAGCCTTCATACTATTATTTGCATTTTTCTTTCGATTATACATATATTTTTAATCGGATAAACTGAGATAGCAACCACAACTTTTTCTTTTTATATTGCTGTTTTCCATGTGCCTTAGCTGTTATACTCGTATTCATTCCATTGGTTACTGCTGTAAGAACATTCTGTTGCCTTAATATCATTGAGCTGCTTCATCTGTTAGGTGTCCTCTTTTGGATCCACAAAAAAATATTTAAATTAAGTCAGTTTTAAAAAGCCCTTATCTTCTGGTGCCCTGATTTCCATAAAGAATAGGAAATGCCATTAGAAAACAAAGATGAATTTTGGATCATGTGCTGGTCGACAACTTAAAAGTTTAGTAGTGCAGTCCTCGTTATTCTAATTGGGCAATATTCTTCCATCAACGAGCCTTTTAATTTGATGCCCTACAAATCTCTTCTGTTCACATATAGGGGAATGGGATAGGTTTTCCTTTTCTGTTTCAAATTTTATAACTTAATTCATGCTAGGCTTATCCATTGCCACTTTTTTCTTTGCAGTTAGATGAGCTAGGAATCTAGGATATATGATGTGTATTTTATACAATTTTTTTGATGATGTTTAGGTTTCAGCCTTTCTGTCACAACATTTTTCAGAGGTCACAGACTACAGTTTTACTGCCGATATGGAAACTGAGGTATCTAGTATGATTGTGTCTTGTTCCCATTTGACCCTCTATTCTATTTGTATTTGTATTTTGAATTTTGAATTTTGAATTTTAAATAGGGATTACAATGGGGTTTCAATCCAATGGGTACCCACAATATGTGCCTGCGCCATGTACATGTATATGGGTATCCATTGGGTATGAACATAAACATTACAGTTTGTATTTGCATGAGTATGGTTACTGGTAGGGGTCCTTTTTTTATCTTCTTAAATGCAGGTGTGGGTACAGTTACTATAATACCCTATCAAAGCCTACCTATTGTCATCCCTAATTTTAAAAGCTTTGATGCTGTACCACCATCCCTAATTGTACTCTAAGACCGTCCTGTTTACTTATTTCTGTCTTTAGAAAATTTATTGACTCCTTTTCCCGCAGTATTTTTATTTTGATTCTCTTCCCTACTGCGTGACCTAGCTGGTTGTTATTTGTGTATTTTTATTTTGTATTTTTATTTTATGTCTCATTCTTTTTTCAGCTTGATAATGTCTCTGCTGGATTAACTGAATGGAAAGGCCTCCTTAAAGACTATTGGACACGGTTTAAATTGTATTGTGAGCGTACATCTAATGTTCATATTCATCAGGTGTGGCTTCTCTTAGCTCAAGGCTTGAAATTTGGAGATCTAAAATTATAACTTCCTTGCTTTGATCTATTTGCAATTGCTTATATTTCTCAATGCACTGTTTATGTAAACATATTCTGTAATTGTTTTTGGTTATGTACTTGTGAAATGGTTTTTATGGTTGCAGGTTGAGAAGATGTTGGAAAAAAAATTTGGCGATTATTTATTTGCTTCTATCTCAGATCAGAGCCGGGTTTGTCCAAGGCAAGTTATTCTATGTTATGGATGGAATTAGCTTAGACAAATGACATGTTGCAGATTCTTTAGCCACATGAGATTACTGACATTGTTTTATAGTTATTTCTTTATGGAACTTCTATTTTGCATTTTCAAGAATTCTGGTTTTGTCCCTGGGAGGTTGTTAGAAAATGTTTAATCAAGTGCTAAAGTACTGAGGAATGACTCTCACTATATGTGATGGGAGTTCATATGGCTAAAGTAACTCTTAAAATCGTTAAAATTTTGGGAGATTGGAATATGTGCTCCATAATGCATTCATTTTAGCCTTCCATGAAGGAAAGAACCAAATTAGAAATTAATTGCCACTTCAATTGTTAGAGGATTAAATCTGGAGAAATTAGCACTTTGGTTGTGAATTCAGATGACCAATCAAAAAATAGATGTATTAATAAAGGTAAGTTAGTACCAAAACCCATGCATTATAACTTAGGAAATAGAGTTTGAATAATTAGCTTATTCGGATTAAATATGTATTTAATCCTTCAAATTATGTTTATTTTTAGTTTTAGTCTCTGTTAAGATAATTATATAAGATATAGTTTAGATATACTAGTTTATCCTCTCCTAATTTCTAGTTCAGGTTCCTTAGTCAGTTTTATCTAAATCCCTAAACTTTAGGGATTGATTATGTTTTATGCCTATTTATTTTTTTGTATCCATCAATTCAATAACATGAAAATCATTCAGATTCAAGTGTCTCTATAAATATTTTATTCGTTTCTATTCCTTAATCCTGTCATTTAACAAAAATGATAAGGGTTTGACTAAAATTACCTTATATTTTTAGGGACCAAAAATATATATGAACCATTATTTTAAGTTTCTCTTGTAAATTATGATTTGTTTATTTATTAAATTAGTTTTGTATTCATATTTCATCCTGTATATAAATTCCAGTTGGTTGAGTGTGTTTTCACTCCTGCATTTCAAGCCAAATAGTCTAGTAAGGCGTTTCAAGCAGGGAAGAAATGGCTATGGGATATCCGTATTAGTAAAATCTCTTGGGCTTGTCTATTTGGTCGATGTGAGACTTGATTAATAACCAAAAGTTTTGTAAGCTTAGTTGATACTACCTTGGGTTTTAAACTGGTAAAAAGTTTCTCCCAAGTGAACAAGCTTCTAAAATGTTAAAATGAGGGTGCAGCTGTAGAACTAAGCATTAGCTATGTTGAAGAAAGGGGGAACCCTCTTGAAGGGGAGACCTTTGAAGAGTGACCTTTTACCTTTTTGTATTTTCAACCAAGAAAAACAAACATTCTTTTTTGTTCTCGATTTCTATTTTGTGTTCCTAACAGAACGTTGGAGTCTTCTGTGAAGTGCTAAGCTCTGATATGATGATGAAAATATTGTAGTGTTAGACAGTTAAAGAAACTGAGAGAAAGAAAGGGAAAATGCTCAGAAGATAATGAAACAGGGATTTTGTTACAAAGATTGCAGATAATTTTTTTTTGTCTTATGTTTGTGATTCTTTGTATTTAACACAGAAGACTGATTATGCTGATTTATTTATTTGTTGAAAATGACATTGATTACTTGCATTATATGCTGCGTTGTCTGTTGATCATATTCTCTATTGATATGTTCTGATTGAACTTGTTTCAGTTGTTTGGAAGGCACACTCATTTTTAAAGTAAGTAGATTTGGTGCTGGCTACTTTATAGGTTGTGATCAGCATCCGAGGTGCAAGTGAGTATTTTATTGCATATTTAGATTAGGTTCTTGTTCTGATCTAACTGGTATGTGAGTTATGCAATTGCAATGGTGTGCGTGTTATATACTATACACATTTGAAAAAATAGTGTATCCAAAATTTGTGTTCTACATGATGTGAGGATTATATGATTTCAGTTCAGTTTTGATTTTTGATTTTTATGATAGAAATGAATAATGAAGCAAAAATCTGTGGCATTGCAAAGATATTTTATTTGTGGTGTGTAAGGAAATTTGAGTATACAAGTAGGCATCATATGATCCTACATTAATCCACCCAAAACTGAAAGAAAAAATAAATGCATGTACTTTACATGTCAACCACCCACATTTTATCTAATACGACAAGTAAATTTTGTTTCTAATGATATGATTTAAAAATTATACACTGTTCATTGCTTGATGTGTTGTTACCTTTGGCAAACAATCAATTTGACTTGAAATAGTAAATAGGTCAAGTAAGTTTATTGTTCTCTCTATATCATTTTTTCTTTTTGGATTAGTCATATATTGAAAGAAACATATATTATCTTGTACTCTGGTGTGGTTAACCCACTGTTTTGAATTTATTATTTATTTATTTATTTATTTATTTTATGCTATTGCTATTGAAGTTTTGGGTAATATTTGAACTGTATGGTTCATAGATATGATTGATGTTAGTTAGTAGTTAGGTCAATTGATTGGGACTTGTAATAATTAGTTTGTTAAAAGGAGTGTCAGGAATATAAATAGGAGAAGGATGTCAGGGAAGGGACATTCAGATGAGAATCATTTGAGAATTGAGAATTGTTTTTTTGTATAATGAGAAATCCTCTATGAAGGTTAAACCCTGGAGGGGATACCTCTTCTATTTTCTGAACTCTTCATTCAATTCAATAAAATCTTTTTTTTTTCTTTCCGATATCTAATTTGTTCATTATAATTAGTTGCAAGTACATGTAGTTTATAGTTTCTTGAAATAGTGGATGTGCTGAGCTTATGGGATCTTATCTAAATTTTAGGAGGGGTATTTTTCAACACTGACTTCACATTTTGTAGCACTTATTGCTAAAATGTCAAACGAATCCATTGAGTTTTTCTTGTGATTGCTGAAAACAGGTACATTGCTAAAACATTATATGGTACAGAGGAGGAAGAGGATGCATCTCAGCCAAACACTAGAATAGAGGAACCAAAACTCCTAGGTGTAACCAGTGGTTCAAAAGAAAAGGTTTGCTTTAGATCTTGGCCGTGTTTATATGCTGTGAAGGATTGATTTAATTATTTTTTTGGGGCTGCTAAATATTGTGTATAAATGGCATTATGTTTCTCTCAGGTTCTTTTGAAAACGGGTCCTTATGGATTTTATGTTCAGCTTGGAGAAGACAGGAAGGGATACACACCTAAAAGAGCCTCTGTGTCTCATGTATGTCACACTGTCAATTTCAATTCTGAGTCATTTTATTTTATTATTATTTTTGGATGAATGTAGGTATTCCAATAATAGTTTATATCCATGACAAATAGAGGTTTGTATGTCACGTTTCTTGAAAATTTAAGAGGGAAACATGTTGGATGCCTACATAACATGCTGTTTTAATGGTAAGTACAATAAGTGTGTATAATATGATCATTGAACAAGGACAAAGTGATGGCATCCTTGCTAGCATTGATGGAGAAATGAAGATCAATGGTAAGGACACCTTGACTCCTTGGATCAAAGCTCTTCAAGGGACGTCTTTGATGAAGGAAATGGACGAAAATGGAGGTTGGGTAGAAGGGGTTTGAGAAGGTACTATAGGGTTTGGCTCACTCCATGGATGATGAAAGCCACTTCTAGGGTTTCTCTCAAGGAAGGAGATAGGTAGGGTTTGGCCGAAAACTAGCCAAGAGTGACTAAGGAAAATATTAAGGCACAAGGCTCTCTCAATATATTAATTTCCAAAGTGATTATATGTTGGATAGCCTAGGGTATTTATAGAAGGGAGGAAATATTTAGGGTTGCATTTGAGAGTGCATGGCCGAGTAATGCAAGCCAAATGCACTTCAAATGAAACCTAAATTAATCCTAGATGCTACTTGGTGGCCAAGGATGGAATCTTTGGGTTTGGTTAAGCTACATCTAGGTGCATGATAAGACCATGCAACCTAGGTGCCCTCCACTTGGACCTAAGCCTTGCCAAGTCCAAAAACAAATCCAATGCTACCAAAAAAATACGTCTAGGCCTATTTTCTCACTTTAATAAAATACCCTAGTCCAAAAATTAAAATCCTATAATCTAAGGCACCCTATAATACAAGGGTAAAATGGGAAATACAAGCAAAAATAAATCATATGATTAAGATACCCCGAAATACAAGGGTAAAAATGAGAAATAAAAGTAAAATAAATCTTATGTCTAAGATACCCAAAATAAAAGGGAAAAATGGAAAATTAAAGATAAGGGTAAAATAGGAATAAAATAAATTTTATGCAAACAAGGTTTAAGAGAATGATTAATATTCTTTAGCCATGAGAAACATGTCTCTAGGGGTGTTAGCTCCTCTATCCTCTTCCAATCTTTTAGTCATGGATCTAGTGATGGATCTCACATGAAGCTCCAAGGATGGTCCTCCATTACAAAGTTCCCGAGATTTTTGGAGAGAAGAAAGGTGATCTATGACTATGTGCCAAATTAATTTTTGTGCAAACATGTAGTCTTGTTAGTGAAAATGTCTTGAAATGCATTTTGGGTTATATCTGTTAAAGTCAGGAGGGAGGCGGATGAAAGCGTAAGGGTTCAAATTGATGGGTTGATGAGGATATAATTTGATGGTTAACTATGTGGAAGGTAGTAACATAGTTTAAGCGAAATAGAAGCATGGAATTTTTATGGCGAATAGAATATTCACAAGCTCAACATAATCACTGGTGTCCTCAAAATTAACATAAAATGAAGAATACAATAATTCTGAAATATTCGAATGAATAATAGATTTAAAAGCTGCTAAAAAATTGAGTGAAGGTGAAGATGAAATAGGGAAATGTTATTTGCATTTTAGAGAGGGGGTGAAGGTGAAGATGAGGTGAAAAATATGACAGAATCAGATTCAAATAAAATCTGAACCATGACCAGATCATAGATGATAGGCTATTTATTGCTTCTTGATTTTTCCTGATTATGGCAGATTTAGTTTCCTCCGAGATTATTTCTGTCTATAAATCAGTGGTTGTAACATTCAAAATAAAGTAAGTGAAATAAAAATATTTCATTCTCTCTTCTAATAAGGTATAAGGGCTATTTTAGATCTGCCGTTAAAATGGTCATCCACCATTTATACATGAACCAAATCCAAGTGTTAGGCAAGAGGCATGGTGGGCTGGCCTGCCAAAATTTGGAGGGCCAGGGTAGACATTTCAGCCCACTTGGCCCATCCCGCCAACTTGTCGGGCCAAATTGAGCGGTGGGTTGGCTGCCAGCCTGTTTAATTTTGAAATATTATTTTTATTTTGTAACTTATTTCGTTGCATTATAGTTTTGTTTATGTTTAATGTGTGGTATCTATGTTGTGGTATAGTCTTGTACTCTTATTATTGAAGGACTATAAGTAATTGTGTTTGTGGTTCTTATGGGATATTATAATTTGTGCTCTTGAAAGACTATTAGTAATGGTTTCGATTGTTTGAGAAAGATTTTTAGTAATTTGTAATTTAATATTTTTGTATCGAAAAAAATCAAAACCCTGCCTATCGTAGATCATTAAAAAAGGTCATCCATCATTTATCTAAACACTAAATCTATTAGTGCTTGCTGGACATGAGGAGGGTGGATTGAGAAAAATCCATGTTCCACATTGACTAAAAATAAGATCAACATAACTAATTTTATCTTACAAACCGGTTTTGTATGGTGAAGTTAAGTCCAAATGATTTTTCTACCAAAAAATCAAACTTGTCAGTTTCTCTCAATTGTCACTCTGCTGTATTGGCATTCCATCGTTCAACTATATTTTAACGTTGAAGTAAGCTATCTGACAATGTTCATCTTTGTATATTATTGGTTGGATGTTCCAATAATGGGGGATAGTTTTTCCTCTTTAAGGTAGCATATTCTGTTTGAGTGGAGGAGAAATTATTTTCTTAATTTAATTGTGAAAATTAAATATGTAGAATAAACTATATTCAAAGATTGTTATATAATGTGGCTTTTTGTATCCATAGTGCATGAAAATTTTCTTGTCGCTCAATGAATGTGGCTGCTGAGTAAGTATGTTGCACACGCATTTGTGCAAATTCGGGTTGATGTCTTGTCTGTTTTTTGAGGGTGATGAGTCTGATGACTTAAGAGCTGCTTGTGCAAATATGATGAATTATTTTATCCTTCAACGAAAGGAAAGAAGTTAAAGTTTAGGTTGTTTCAGATCAAGGATGTGGATTCTATCACTCTTGAAGACGCACTTCAGTTGCTTCAATATCCATTGACATTGGTACGTTTCTTAATTTTCAATTTGAGCCACAAGTACTTATCATGTTTGTTAGAATATTATGTACACGAGGTTCGTTTAAACTAATTAATTTACTTATGATTAGGGTAACCATCCCAAGGATGGACATCCTGTCATATTAAAGCTTGCAAGAGTTGGGTTTTGTGTTAGACATCGGTCCACAATTGCCTCTGTTCCCAAGGTATGATTTAGTTAAGTATTTTCTCATTTTAGATTTTATCATTCTACACGTCATGCAACCATAGGATACACATATCCTGTAGATCAATATGATTATTCTAAAAACTCTAATTCTAAAATGGTATTATAGTTTATTTTAGTGGTTGTTGAGCTTATTATGTCATATTATCGGATCTTTATATCCGATTCATATTCGAGATGTCTAGTTTTCCTCATGAGAGAAAAACTCCAATCTCATGAGTTAATTTTTAGGGTTAAGTTAGATTTAAACCCAATTCTATGACAAGTTTTTCTAAAGCAATTTTTTTTTAATTGACATTCAGGATATGAAGGCAAGTGATGTGACCCTGGAAAAAGCCCTTGAATTTTTGACGGGAAAAGATGTGAGACGATCAGGGCGCCCAAAAGGAAAATCTAAAGCTCAAGAAGTTGAAGTTATTGAAGCATTCTGAGTTTTTGTTTAGCGTCAGTGCAGAGATTTTTCGTGGTTCACTACATTAATATCTGCCTTTTGCCAACCAGTCCCAGATGAGTCCTGGAAGATTCTTTTATGGAGCCAAATGTATATTTATCATTGTTCTACAAATTTTGTTGCGTGTCTTCTGTTTTTTGTTTTTTACCTTAACTGTCTATAACGTTAGGCCAATGTGATATTTATTTTAGATTTAGATAGAAATGTGTTATCTTCCTACGGCTTGATATTCGTTTACTTGTATACTATTCAGCAAATTCAAAAGAAAATCCTTTGTCAGGGTTGATTATTGCCTTGTCTTATAACCGTTTTGTATTTTATTTTTATTATTTTTTTAAAAATTTTAATACTCGACATTGTCAAGGTTTAAGAGAGAATTGCCTTCTCAGTCAATAATGCAATCAGTCATCATTTTCTAATTTGGATAGCGATGTGTTTATTCTAATATATTATATGTAAGGATGTAATTAATAACGTATTTATGCCGTCAAAGTCGAAGTGTTGGTAATGTTTACAACTTAACCCGTAAAGATAACTAGTTAAGTTACAGTGTGAGGGCATGTCTCTCTCTCTCTATATATATATATTAAATATTTTAGTATTTATAGTTAAACTTTAAAAATCCTATTCCTATTGACAGTATGAACTAGTTAACGTCTTCCTGCCATATTCCTTAAACATTTAGCCATTGACAATATGAACTAATAATGGAAGGCCATAAAAACATTGTAAAAAAATAAAACACTTTTAAAATAAGAAATTATAAAGACACAATTAAAAAAGACAATATGAAAATTGAAAAACATACTATTAGAATGAACTGCTTACTGTTACAAAACATATCTAATTGAATTAACCGTTACAGAATTAAAAATTGAACAAATATAATGTAACCAAAAAAGTTTTGACAAAGGAAACCACCCATGTTCATAAAAATAATGAAATAGCAGGAGGTCAAGCAATATTCTTCCAAACGATGGATTTTAACTTTTAACGTCAAAGGATTTCTGCTTATGCATTTAGATGAGCTTCTCCCACTTTTCTTCCTCTCCTTATTCCGCAGGTAAACTTTATGCATTGCTCATCCTCTATCTCCAAAGTTTAAACTAGTCAATAAAGAAAGGCATATTTGCAGGTTGAAAGTAAAGATATAAGCTTAAATATGCAATTCACATTTGTTCTTACCAGAATTTGTAGGCTGAAATCCAAACTAGGTTCACTTCTCCCTTTCCTCGACTCTGGCAGAAGTATTTGGAAAAGAGACTCTGAAGCTAAGTGATAAGTAATTTCACAAGTGAAGAATCAAACTCGGTTAAAAAGTTGTATCTATACCCGCCTTATATATGATATAACATTATCTTAGTTCTTAATAATTAATTTAACAGATAAGAAATGATAATAAATAAAAGATACAAACAATTATTGTTGATCATGGATGTATAGTAGATGAAATAATTTGAAGACGGATAATACACTATCTTAAAAGACTTATCCACAGATGCAATAAGATCTTTCCTGTACTAGATTGAGGATGTAGAACTGACAAATTTTTAATTCAGAAAAGAAAGAACATAGAATAGACAAGTGCTCGATGCATCTTACTTATAGAAGGGAATTGCTAACTAACTATAGTTAATCACGAGAATTAAAAATAATTAACTTTAAAATATATGATAATTAAAATTAATTAAAACTACAACGGTCAAATTGTTATATTTCATTAAAATTAAAGTTAATTAGGTTTTAAAACCTATAATTAATAAAATAATTATTTTGAGTTTAAATTTAAAAATTTAAAATAATTTCAAGAATTAATTAACCTTTTAAAATATTTTAAAATATACAATAATTATAGTCATGTGGAATATTAGGAGAGGGAGAGAAACAACCACAATTGTGATCACAACCAAAATTTAGAACCATGAAAAATCGTTTTGTGTAGTTTCTTTGCTTCTACTAGGTGTTGCAAAACAATGGTTGTTGTTACACAATGATAAAATTTGATGTTTACATTAATATTTCATTTCATAATTAACAATGCTTCAACCTGATGTTGTGTAATGGTAGAATTTTGCTAACTAATTAGTCTTTCTAATGAGAACATCACGTGCTTTAAGATTAGAAACTAGATTTTTTCTTTTGGATAAAACTTGATATTTGTACCCAAAGCAAAGCAATAGCTTCGTTAGGTTCAATTTCATTTGCATTTTGTCAAAGAGCACAAAAGTTTAATTGCATTGCGGTATGGTAATATATGTAAGTTTTGCGGTCGAGGGTTACCTAGCCTTTGCCTCCCTCTCTTTTTCTGACGGATGAGGGCACTAGGGGTGAGGTGGATCAAGTTAAAACATCATTTCGCGATAAGATGTTAAGGTAACACTTGGTACGTCGTGCAAAGGTTGATCTACTCGCTACTAAAAAATTTTGCATCGAGTTGGAGGATGGGGACATGTCGAAACCTAAATGCTTTATTGATGAGCTTGCAAGGATGCATTATTGTTAAGCTTTTGGGGATGTTTTTAAGCCTTTTCACGCTAAGGGATAAACTGCGGGTGATTTGGAGGTTGACTGGGGATTTTGACATGGTGGATGTTGGATTTGACTTCTACATGATCAAATTTGATCTTCCTCAGGATAGGGAGTTGGTTCTATCATGGAGCCCTTGGATAGTGTTTGATCATTATCTAGCAGTTTGTCTGTTGGTACAAAACTTTATTGCTTCTGAGGTTTAGATTGAGAGCACACTTGTGTGGGTGCGTTTTTTATGTTTAGGGATGGAGTAGTACGATAAGAGTATTCTTATGGCTCTAGCTACAATGATTAGGAAACCTATTCGCATGGATATTGTAGACACTTAATTTCATCCGGACCAGTAAATTGAGAAATAGACTTCTATTTTGTGAAGAAAAAAGAGCTCCTAAGCATGGAAACAACAAGATATGACATCAAGAGGCCTAAAGCCCAACAAAAGATGATTTAGTAGCTCAGAACGGGCTGTTCCTAAGCTAGAACGGCCCGTTTCCAAATTGGAACGGGCTGTTTCCAAGCTGGAATGGCCTGTTCCCAAACTGTAACGGACCGTTCTTAAACTGGAATGGGCCGTTCCAGACTACTAAAAAAGGTCTAAAATCCTAGTTTGGAACAGGTCGTTCCAGCACAGGCAGTTATGTGTTAAACTTAACTCTAGAACGGGCCGTTCTGGTTTAAGAACGGACCGTTCCAAATACGAAATTAACGCATAACGAAGGGGTCCAGAATGGGTCGTTACAGATCTAGAATGGGCCGTTCTGGCTACTTCTGATGTCTATAAATAACAAACTCAGGCATTGTTCTCGGGCTCAAAAATTCTCTCTCCCTCCTATTGTATTTCTTGAGATTTGTGAGACATTTGTGTAGTGTGAAAGGTAGCCAAAAAATATCTAATAGATTTCCATATTTGAAGATTTAGTAAAGCTCGTTTAAGAGGTATTTAGTCAATTCTCTTTTCTTTTCTCTATTCCCTCATTTTAAATATCGTTATAATAAAAACAACCATGTAGACATTTTAGGATCAACCATATAATTTAAATTTCAAGCATGTTAATAACCATTAATAAAGGGGATAAATATTTAATTTATTAATTCTTACTATGCTAACTTCATCATAAGGGTACCGATTAAGGGCGTTGGAGGGTGCTTAATACCTTCCCAACACGTAACCGACCCTCGAACCCAATTTTAGTTGTCTAGGCCATTATTGGATTTTTAAAAACCTTTTCATTTTCCAATGCTTTGAGTAAAATATTGGTGGCGACTCCATGAACCTATTTTCAAAACCATTAATTAGGGATTAGTCTGATCTCTGGACATTCCTTAATTGATGAGCTTTTCAAAAGGATGTTTAAACCATAGGTCGCAAGATCATAATCTTTCGAGTTACGACAGATGGCGACTCCATTGGGGTAGTTTAAAGAGGGTCAGGTCCAAATAAATGATGAAATTAGCATAATAAGAATAATAGTTTAAATATCTTATCCCCTTAGTTTGTTTGTTTTACTTATTTGGCTTTAATATCTGTTTGTTTGTTTAAATTCCACACTTGTTTGAATAAAAATTGTACACAAACCTTTGGACACAACAGTTCCCCCTACACCCGGGGGCATGAGGGTATTAAACATAGGGAGTGGTTGACGTACGACCGGCTGAAGTTTGGCCTTGGAGCCTGCGAGCCTTGTCGAAAATCACACTCAAGGTGATTACTAGTTACTCTAGCCCGAAATACTACGACAGACCTTAGAGTTTGTCAAGTGACGACGACAGAGGTACTAGGTCCCTATAATGGGGGCACCTTGGGAGCCTTAAAGATGAGTGAGTTTAGAACCTTCCTATACAACGCACTATTCTTAACAAGGACTCCAGACCATGGATTTATGTCGCTTGTGGACTCTTTTTTTTGAGCATATGTTTATTGCATTTTGTTTATTTAAACTGTTTGTTTATTTTTATAATTCCACTAGGGTAAAGAAAAAAATACAAAAATAAAAATTTATTATCATGAGGGAAAACATAGTGTGAAAATAAAATCTGTGAGAAGCATATCTTTAAAAAGGGGGGCATCATGCATTTTCTAAAATAAAAAAATCAAAAAATAAAAAGAAAGAGAGACATGCATATCATGTATAGGATCACCAAAGGAATTTCTATCAAAGATGAGAAATCAGTGTGACCTTTGTCACATCATAAAATATTATGAAGAGGAACACCGATAACTCACCTCTTATCAAGGATGAGTCACTAAATCTCTGCTAAAAAACCTCCTTCATGCATTATCATTTAAATAGCTTGATAGGAAATTATCATGATCCCTCGAAGGTGGCTTTTCAACACTCCGTACTCACAAGAGCTCAAAAGATAAAATCTATGAGAACCCCATCGCAAAGAAAGCAGTAACTGCCTTACCCACTATGGTATAAGCTCGAGGAAACTTGCGATTATCACGTCGGGGCAGCAAGGCACTCCATAGAAAACTGCAAGGCTTTGAAATCTCGTGTACAAGAGCTTATTGATGCGGGGCAGGTCAAGTTTGAGGCTAATGCACCACACATCAAGGAATGAGCTGGATGAGTAACCATCCTAGAACGGTCTGTTGAAAAGTTGTTAGGGGGCTCTCTTTTTCAAAAAAAAAAAAAAAACAAAACAAAAAAAATTGTTTTAAATTCATGATCAACTCATGACCTTCGTCCACGGTCACGAGTTCATATCAAATAAGGGCTTGTATAAGTTTTTACATTCGTTAATAATATACGTCATTTCTACAAATC